GCAGACGGTCTCGATGTGCACGTGGGCTCGGCTGGTGGACGTCTGCAAGCCGGGCGACCGAGTGGAGGTCACCGGCGTGTACCGCGCCTCGCCGGTCCGCTCGAACCCGCGCCACCGCTCGGCGAGCTCCACCTGCAGGGCGTGCCTCGCAGCCTTCCCGGAGCCGTCTCGGAGCCGTCTCGGAGTCGCCTCCCCTTAGGTGCGCTCCATCTACAAGACGTACGTCGACATCGTGCACGTGCGCAAGATCGACAAGGGGAAGCGGCTGCAGCAGGAGGCGCCGACGGCCGCCGCGACCTCGACCCCTCCCCTCGGCGCAATCGCGCGTAACCGCGGCTCCTCTCGACAGGCGGAGCCAACTGTCGCGACCGCCGCCGGCGAGGCGCGGGCCGGCGAGGCGCGCGAGGAGTACCACGAGGGCAACGAGCTGGACGCGGTGTCGGACGCGCGCGTGGCGGAGCTCAAGGCTGGCCGAGACGTCGACCACTAGCCACTTGCCTCGGAGCCTTCTCGGAGCTTTCTCGGAGCCCCGTCTGCAGGCGCTGGCCGAGACGCCGACCCTCTACGAGGACCTGGCGCAGTCGCTCGCGCCGTCGGTGTGGGAGCTGGACGACATCAAGAAGGGCATCCTGCTGCAGCTCTTCGGTGCCTCGCACAAGGTGATCGACAAGGAGTCGTCGGGCGGCTCGGCGCGCAAGCGCGGCGACGTCAACGTTCTGCTCGTCGGAGACCCGGGCACCGCAAAGTCGCAGCTGCTGCAGTACGTGCACAAGGCGCGGGGGGCACGGCAAGCTGCGACCCGACGCTGCGCCTCCCCCGGAGCCCTGCGGAGCTCGCCCGTAGGTCGCGCCGCGCGGCATCTACACTTCGGGCAAGGGCTCGTCGGCGGTCGGCCTGACGGCGTACGTGACAAAGGACCCTGAGACCAAGCAGTTTGTGCTCGAGTCGGGGGCGCTCGTGCTGTCGGACCACGGCGTCTGCTGCATCGACGAGTTCGACAAGATGTCGGACGGCGCGCGCTCCATCCTGCACGAGGCGATGGAGCAGCAGACGGTCTCGGTCGCAAAGGCGTCGCGCCGCCGGCTCGACGCCGCGCGCGAAACGCGCGAGTCAGCCGGAGGTTGCGCCCGAGAGTAGGCGGGCATCATCTGCTCGCTCAACGCGCGCACGTCCGTCCTCGCCGCCGCCAACCCGATCAATTCCAAGTACGACCCGAAGCGATCCGTCGTCGACAACATCAACTTGCCGCCCTCGCTGCTCTCGCGCTTCGACCTGATTTACCTCGTGCTCGACAAGGCGAGATTCGCCGAGATGCGCAGAGACTCGCCGAGATGCGCAGAGATTCGCCGAGATGCGCAGAGATTCGCCGAGATGCGCAGAGATTCGCCGAGATGCGCAGAGACTCGCCGAGATGCGCAGAGACTCGCCGAGATGCGCAGAGACTCGCCGAGATTACTTTGCGCCCGCGCCCTCTCTGCAACCGTCTCCGCACCGTCTCCGAGACCCGTCTCCCACCCTTCGCCACCAGGTGAACGAGTCGACCGACAAGCGGCTCGCTGAGCACATCGTCCAGCTCTACCAGCTCGACCGCACGCCCGCGCACGCCGTCGTGCCGCAGCGCACGCTGATGGACTACATCTCGTACGCGCGGCGCGAGGTGCATCCGAAGATCTCGGACGAGGCCGCGCAAGAGCTGATCCGCGCGTACTTGGCGATGCGCAACATGTCGGGCAACAAGAACGTCATCTCGGCGACGCCGCGCCAGCTCGAGGGCCTCGTCCGCCTCTCGGAGGCGCGCCAACGACACCGCCCCCGCACACACACCCCGCACACACCCCTCGCACACACCCCTCGCGCACACCCCTCCGCCACTTGGCCCGCCCTCCCGCCACCCTCTCCTGCCGCCGGTCGCCCTCTCCGCCTTTGGGGGACCCCCAGAGCGTCTGCTGGGCGGGGGTTGCCCGCTGCGAAACTCTGGGGGGGGTTTCGGCCCGGGCACGG